AATATGCGTTTTTGCTGGCTGTAGCAGCGCTATAGCGCTGCACAGCAAAAACGCATAAAAACAAAAATGTTTTTTTTGCATATCGGCGGAAAAAGTGAAAAACAAAAATGTTTACTGCATACCATTCAAAAACCTGTGCCCGCGCCAAGCTGATGTACACTGGTGAGTTTCGTAAACTATGGTCATAAGTCATCCGAAAAATTCCAAAGGTTGCGAAGACACGTAGCATGTCATTGGATCAAATTTTATTTATGTGGATATCGAAGAGATTGTTCATTCTTTCAAACACTGCTACTTTTCAGGTACTCTGACTTGTTCTAGAGACGATGAAAGCTGTCCGCGGATTGCTACTCTTTCTTGCAACCTTTACAGTTGAACAACAGCACAAAGGTATTTTACTGTGCGAGATTTTACTACACATGTATCGCGTCACGAATGGTTTTTATACTTTTGTAGTTCTCAAAAATAAATTCTGTTTGTGTTCCAGACGATTCTAAAGCAATAAGTTTTTCAGGGCCAACAAATCCAGGGATATTCTCAATTCTTGACAATCTTGCAGTATCGCCCGAACTTCTTCCAAAGTGCGCTGAAGGTTATTCGTTGATCTAAAGATGCTACTGTTCTGGCTGCCAGAAATTGAATTGCTTTCCTGCACTAGTTTCAGGGTGCTTGAAGCCGTTGCTTCAAACACTCCGTGCGAGCTTCGTTTCTGGAAACAACTATGAACGTTTGGTTAATACATGCGAGTAAGAACATGATTTTTATAAGATTTTTTTGCATGATTTTTATGAACATGATTTTTATGAGAACGTGATTTTTATGAGATTTTTTGTTTTCCGTGATTTCCATATCTTTCGAAAAAAATCAATAGAATGCTGCAGTCGAATTCTGAGGAAAAATTGAGTATATTAGGAACAAATTTATTTTTTACTCCTTTGGAATTTTTTTACGAATTTTGAAGACTTCACTGGATATGCCGCGTAAAATTGAAAAGTTTTGATTTTAGCAAACTTCGTTCTGTCTATCAGTGTATGGATCGTATCAAAAAATGCCAACCAAACCATCTTTTTCGTGTGTTTACAGACGGTCTTAAATACATGTGCGTCGAGCATCCTGACGGTAAGTCTTTTCTTAAACTAGAGATCGGGAAATACAGACTGTTTCAATACCGAGGCTTAAATAATTGTCTCGTCCGAAGTCTAGAAAGTCTGGTAAAAGTCGTTATGGATCCACTAATCAATGCACCAGTGGCCCCGCAGACTAAAAAGTTGGACCAAATCCAGACTTCGCTCCTGTGCTCGTAACCCTTGGATCATAAAAGATTTATCATTTACTCAGCGTGGGGATCATATTTCGTGAAATCACTATTTCGTCATGCAATATTTTACTGTTATATTTTGGACAAAAAACTGTTCGGTTTTTTTTTGAAATCTATATAAAAAATTGCATTTTATCAGGCTTCTATTTTTAAGCCTTTCGAGACATTATGGAATGTATAGATGTAAACGCGCACATTGCAACTGAAGGTTAGTTTTGTTTTTTATGCGTTTTGTGCTGTGTAACAGCAGTACAAAACGTATATTGTCACGAGGTTGTCTGTTTGTGTATCCGCCACAACTTGTCCGTAACTTTCAACTCGGGAACCACAAAAGCTAGGAAGCTGAAAATTTAGGGGAATGCTCCCAGCCACTTGTGACCCCGCAAATTTAAATCCAGCTTTCCCCTACCCGCGGATAACATATAGCGCCCGGTGAAACTTTTGACGGATAAATTATTACCTCGGAAACCATGGAATCTAGGAGGTTGGAATTTTAGGGTAATGACCTCGCAAATTCAACTTCAGCTTTCCCATTCTCTCGGGCGTCAACTACGGTTTTGGCGGGTAAATTACTATTTCGGCAACCACAACAGCCAGGAAGCTGAAATTTTATGATAACGCCCCACGCCCACATATAATGTCCCCCGTTCACATTCCCGCACACCCGAATATCACTTGCGACCCTGTGAAGGCTTCGACGGGGAAAACTGTTATCTCGGGAACCGCAAAAGTTGGGAATCTGGAATTTTAGGGCGATGTTCTCTTTCAACGTACGACCCCCGCAAATTTGGATTCAGCCTTTATGCATCCCTGAGTACCACGGACGACCCCGTGAAAGTTTTGGGAATTATTATCTCGTGAACTGCAAAGGCAAAAAACTGGAGTTTTAGCGTCACATCCCTTGCTCACATACGAATCCGCAAATTTTCAGTGTCCCCGTAAAAGTCTTGGCGGGAAAAATCATTATCTCGAGGGCCAGAAGAGTTAGGAAAGTAATTTTCACTGCTGGAAAGTAATTTTCTCTTGAATGTAGAGGAGCACGTGACACTTATAGGTGGTATTGCAGATTGCATGCAACAGTGCAATGCTCACAAATTAGTTGTTGGATGGTTCACATATTTGGTTATGCGCTCAACAACTTTCATTCGGTTGGGCGAAGGAAACTTACCACCACGTGTCAATTCTATATTCTTTCGTAAAGTTTCTACGGAAGCATGCACGTTAGTGTTTACTACTAATCAGTCACGAAAACGAACCGTTCTCAAAAAGTATTTGAAGCACGTGCACATCTGTGTTTTTTTTTTTTCTGGACTATGCTGTCCTAGAAAACATTGTTTTTCAGCGCGACATTCTCAATAATTGCCAAAACAGTGCATGAGAGTAACTTCAAATGAGCTTTTAAGCTATTCTCTGCCCTGAGATGCGGGATTGAGTGCAAGTCAAACCATATACTTGAGATACCGTGATGTCAACTCATCACGACGAATGTGACAAATGCCTTGAAAACATCTTCCAGTCCACTCAGTGTGTGTGGAAGTATCATCTTCTACTCAGCCTGGGTCTTTTGCAGCAGCCCCAGGGTTCGATGGCTTGCCCGTTTGAAATTATTTTTTCAAGCACAACAGAATACCGTGTTTTCTCACAAACTGTGCGGTTACAGTAGCCAGTCTTATTTACTACTTAATTGAATACTTGAGCAACTGTTTATCATCAGCATTCGTTATCGCGCGATCGATACAGTAGGCAATTTTCCCATTCAACCCGTTGTTACGCTCTCCGAGACCGCATAGTACTGCACAGGCGTACCATGGTTTCTCCACCTCGTCTTCGCTTGAGCGTGCGCGGGTACTATCCCATTATCTTCTTCGTCCATTTACTGTCTGTTATCCGTGGCACATGATCAGCTCATCTCTTCTTGCTGGCGTACACTGCTTCATTCAGGCCAGATCTGGCTCAGAGTACTTCATGTGGAATGTACTGGAGTCTGTTGACGCCAACTATTCGTCAGTCCATTGCTGTTTGAGATAATGCTAATTTCCTTTTTTTAACAAGTTAGTTATTCCACGTTTCGCAACCGTATAACATGGCTGGTAGAATGGTCGAATTGAAAATTGCTGCTTTTGCATATGAAGTAGTCTTTTTGTTGTAGAATACATCACAAAGATCGGCGAAAGTTATCCACCCTGCTTTCATCCTTCTCGCTACTTCGATGCCTAAGTCGTTGTTTATCTGCATTGCTTGTTCCAGTTAGGTGTACCTGTACACAAATTCGCTGATGTCTTTGTCCAGCTTCACTTCAAGGACATTAGGCGTTTTTCATCCACTTGATTTTATTGATATTAACTGTGAGCCTGTTTTTCTTATCTTTGCTATAAGCTCGTTTAACAGAGTCTCCAACGACTGACGGCTTTCTGCGACAAATACTACGTTGTCCGCAAAAAGTAGCATCTGCACTTTTTCGCCATCGGTACTGATTCCATTTGTTGCATCTATAATTCTGAGAACTCCTTGGTGCGCTGGTGAAAGTTTTCGGAGGGCAGATTTCACCCTGTTTCACGCCTCGATTTACTTCTATTAATATTGAATCACCGAAGAGGGTATTGAGAGCATTGAGCACAGAGCACTGAGCACTGAGCACGAGAGTATTGAGCACAGCGTTGTCTTCGACTGAGTTGAAGGCTTTTCTGAATAATGGGGCTTTGTATTGCAATGCATAATGGGAGTTTGTATTGCCGATACCGCATAATCAGCTATAATTAGTTGTAGAGAATCGTTTCCTGAAATCCCGCTTGCTCGGTTCTCGAATTTTTACCAAGAATTTTTTCGATTCGATATTATATTACCCGCATGATCTTGTACTACACATGTCGGATAACAAGCATACTAGGCGGTAATTAGCAGTGTTCTCCAGGTCTCCTTTCTTCGGCAGCAATATGGCTTTGAATCTCTTCCACTCCGCTCATATCGTACCTGCTTCCAGATATTAGATGTACCGTGCACTGAGTGCTTTTGTTATCATTTCATCTCCGGCTTTTAGTTCTTCGACAGGGATTTGATCCAAACCCGCTGCCTTGTTCCTCTTCCTGAAGCGAATCGCGGTTTCGGCCTCGATGGGAGCAGTAACGAGTACAGAGGAGGTTTCTATGCGAATGATTACTATTTGCAAATTTGCAAACATTTTCTATGCGTATGGGAGTTTCCATGTTGTTATCTGTCTATTCTTGACTAAGAACGCCACTGGGATATTTTGACGCAGCTGCACTTCTCTCCAAGCTCTTTTTAAAAGCTCGTAATTATCTTTCTTCAGGTCGTATCAGCGCTTGTTCAGATAAGTGTTTTACTTTTTATTTTTCAGAATTCTACAGTGTTATTTTCTCTGTCTAAAAACAAAGTACAATTCACGTTGCTTTGGCGTTGGCGGCAATCTGCTTTTGGTAAGAATTACTGCACTCCAAGCTTGGTGTAATTTACTTTGCTCATCATCCCGGTGTTGATTTCTCGGCTGTACTGGTGGTCGTTGCAGGAAGTAATCGTGAGACCAATTGTATCGCTTCATGGCTCGATGCTGCTCAGCCCGTTGTGGAACCTTGTGAAACTGATGATGCCTATTCAGTGTAACTTCCTCATGACTGATTCTGGCGTCGCTTGGTTCAGGTTTCTCTTATTCGCATGCCGTTTCACAAAGTTGCGACAAAGCGCCTGGCACCGCTGGCTGACTTCTGGGCGAATCCCTTTAACATTACTAGCACGAGATACTCACGCTAATGCCCAGGCTGTTTTGACATCCTTGATATATTTAACTCATTTCCAGAAAGCGTCACGTGGGATGAAGCGGATATGTGTTCTGCTGCTCATGTTATTCCCTTCTTTAATGCATTTAGCCTTGTTCCGTTAGATTAGTGGCAAGATTTTCAAAAAACAATGCGCCGATTTTTTCGCTCATACGACAGTTCATTCATTTTACGATCAGCATGCTTGTTTCAACAGATCAAGCGGAAGTTATGTAACAAAATCGTAATTTGTTGAAGATTGAATTTCAGAATTGACACGAAGTTGGATCATGACTTGAAAGAACTTTACAAGAATCGCACAGAATCAGTGGCCACGTTTCGCCAGTCGGTAATTTTTTTTTT